TGTCCCAAACTCTGCATCTTTGACTTGTACCCTAAATATTTAAGTTTGGTAAAACATGAAACTATATATTGATTTATTGGAAAGAAAGAATTGCCATCTTATATTCATTTTTTTTTTTTAACTCTGCATAAAATTGTAATGAATTTACTGTAATGCATTTGTAATGAAAAAAGATGGCTGTTATAACCATGATCAACAAATAAAGGACACAGCTTGCTCTTAATGCGCAATTGTTTATATACTTGCTGTACTTTGTACTGTATTATATGAAGTTATATAGCTCCTACTTATTTCCCTTCTTCTTTCATGAGAGATGTATGGGTTGGGGCGATGGAGAGGTGTATACAATGTTTGTCAAAATATGTATGCCCCCTTGATTTATTTTCTTTAAATGCACAAAAAATACAAGATTATTTTTACATTAACTCATTCAATTCTATTTTTTTTTAACAAAGTGACCATGCATTAAAATGGCAAATATTGTCTCAAACAGAGGCAGAAGAATTAGTGCATGTATTTGTAAACTTCCAGTGTTGGAAAAAGTACTTTAAAACCACCTGACTAAAGGTAAAGATACCTTACTGTAAAAGTATGCCGCTTAAATCAAAAGTCACCCTAAATAAAATGACTTAAAGTAGCCAATTACAGGGGCGGTCCTTGTTGTTAATGTTTGGTCACATCTTAGTGATCTGTTGATTTTAAGTTGTAAGATGTCATGACAGTCACTAGGTTATTGTGGACTCCACGAAGAATCTGAGATCCTAAACTAAAGAGTGTGATGCTTAGAAGCTGAGGGCAAATTATTTGCAAATGATTAAAAAAGACACAACATGATGATTCACAAAACACACTCAAAGGGTTAAATGCAGCCTCTAGCGCTACAGAGCACGCAGTCTCTCTGTGCGTTTGTGCACCAGTGCAGTGCGCACAGAGACGCACAGGCAAAGAGGCTGAGCAGTTATGCAGTCATTTGGGGGATAATGTCCCCCAATATTAAAATCTGCTTCATTACAAAAATTCACAAACACTAGCAACACTGGCGCTAACAGCCTCGTACAGGTAACAGTTTTCAGCTGGTGATTGCGCTTCAGTCGGCTATTTATAAGAGATATAAAACCCACCTATTTAAGTCTGTAAATATGACTTTAACATTACTTTGAAAAATATACCCAGGGTTAAGTCAGTCCGGGGCTGTAGACACTTCATCCACATGTCTTTTTTGGAGCTGTTATGCATGATAAAGATGAGGAGTGTTGCTTTATCTTGGGGTTTTCCTTTCCTTGAGTTGTCCTTCAGGGAGGAATATTTTTATTTAGGCTATATCTAATGTGTGAAAACAAATGTTTTTGACGTGTGTGGTGCTTAACCTAAGTGAACACATTCAGGCCATATTGTCATTCAGTTAACTGAACGCACTGTTTGTTATTCTAAACATTTAATGTGAATGGTCAGAAATCCAGCGGGAGCGGGATTAACACACCCTCGCTCTTTCAAAACAAGTCACGGAATATCCAGCCATGTCTTCACAACGTGACACCACGGTTGTCCTCCCATCTCACATCCGCCCTCGAGACAGCTGAATGAGATGCAGACGCAACGCAAACCTCTAATGAACAAAACAATGTGGTTGTCTTGTGTCTGTGTACTTTCATTTGTTCATTTCGTTAATTCATTTTAACATCATATTGCCTACTTTACTGCGGTCACGCCATCCGCACTTCGGAGATCGACAGTCGCGCTGTCCGCGCTTGAAAATCGATTGCGCGTCTACTCCCCTTTTTGCGGTAGAGTGAATTGAGGTGCGTTCATGTGCATTTAGTAAATAATGAGTGCTTAAACCAAATGGCAACTATGCCTACTAACGGGGATGGCTTCATTCATTTTTTATTTTCCGTTGTTACGATGCATAGCCTGCATTTCTAATTAAGTTCTCAGTGTTTTTCAAACAGATTTGATTAACTAAAAGGTTACTGTGTGGACAATAATATTCATAAAAAAAATCTAATCAAATGATTACAAGCAAAGTCCATAGAAAAACGTGTTAAATACATCTTCAATGACACATGCAGTCACATACAAGTAAATCTAGGCCTACATTAAAATAGATGATCAATTCAAGCCGATCATATCTGAACTGTGGTGTTCATTCTAAAAGCATTAATTTTAAATCAAATTGTTGTCTACAAGGTCCACCGTATAATGGTCAAGCTTATTCCTCAGGTACATTTTTGGTGATATGTAGAAAATGTATTGCAAAAGTTTTGAAAAATGTGATCACTAAAAGCCAAATATACTTAATTTTACTTAATTAATTACTTAAAGTGCAGATATCAGAACAGACCTAAAAATAATTCATCATCAGATTGCATCAAATCTGTATAAGGACCTTCTTCATTTACCTCTGTGATGACAATCAAGTACATTTACTGAATATTTATTTAATAATTTGATGAAAAAGTAAGGCTTAATACAAGGTGGCTTAATGTTCTGATATTAAAACATTCATAAAAATTCAAAATCAAATTGTTATCACAAATTCCACTATGTCATTGTTGAGCTCATCCTCAGGTACTTCTGGTGATTATCAAGTTAATTTACTGTAGCATTATTTAATAATCACATGATGAAGTCAGGCTTATTGCACCCCAGTCGCTAAAAAATCAGATATTTATAAATGAATTAAAGATCAAAATAAAATTGTTATCAGCAAATTCCACCATATACGTGTTGAGCACATCCTCAGGTACTTCTGTGGTGATGATCAAGTCAATTTACTGTTTACTGTTTACAGCATTATTCAATTATAACATGCAGTCAATACAATAATACACAGCAGTCGCGAAAAATAAGAGACTGAGGATGTGCTCAACACTTAAATGGTGGACTTAGCTGATTAAAATTAATTACAAGTACTTTCTTGTTCGTGAACAGACTGGACCGATGAACACATAAATGAGGTCAGGCCAGCACGATCACGATGCCCTCTCGTCCATCCACTTCCCTGCAGCTGCGAGTACACGCCCCC